GTAATAACCAGTAGCTAATAGCTAGTGGCCAGTATTATTTTGTTACCTGAAGTGTTCTCAAAGTTTCATCAACGCTACGACCAATTGCAAGATTGTTAATAGTCGAGTGTTGAATGACACCTTCTTTGTCAATAATGAAAAGTCCTCTCAATGCAATTCCCTAAAAAATCAAACAAAAAAAAATCAGTGTAAAAATGGTTTTAAAGATTAACAAATAACAAATAAAAGAATACATCAAAGTGTACCTGATCTTCAATCAACACATTAAAAGCTTTTGAAATCGATTTTGTCACATCAGAAACCAAAGGATAATTCAAATCACCAAGTCCACCAGATTTTCTATCTGTTTGAACCCATGCAAGATGAGAGAACTGAAAAAAAAAATCATAAATCATAAATTCATAACATAATATAATATATTTAAGATATTTGTATTAAAAAAACAACAGGGTAAAGAAAGAATTAGAATTTACCACACTGTCTACTGAAACACCCAATATTTCAGTGTTTATCTTTTCAAATTCCGCATGTCTATCACTGAATGCAGTGATTTCTACATAATAAACACATAATTAGGAAAATCAATTGGATCAAATTATGTTTAAAAAGTGAAAGTGAAAGTGAAAGTGAAACTCACCTGTTGGACAAACGAAAGTGAAATCAAGAGGGTAGAAAAAGAGAATGACATATTTCTTGCCAATGTAGTCAGAGAGCTTAACCTGTAATTCATAAATTTCCTACAAAGTTATGAAATCTGGGATTTTATTTATATATATTATATAATCAATGATATGAGTCGATTTAGTTACGTTGATGAATTCTTGATCAAAAACAGCTTCGGCTTCAAAATCTGGTGCGACATTTCCGACTAGTGGGAGTCCCTATAAACACCAAAATACATTTCAGAATTTGAGAAAGGAAATCTGTTATCTACAAAATTTGATTATATATCTTTCAGATCCAATTGGCATACATCCACTTTCATAATTATCGAGCACATGATAAGAAAATTAAGTCATCGGTATAATGGTGTTATAGAACATAGTGTCAATTACAAGTAATACAAAAAAATTCATCTAAATAACATACATTAACATGAATCGACAATGCAACCAGGAACTGTAACTGTTTATGTGAAAATACGGAAAATTACGCAACCTTGTAAATCCACGAATGACAAAACATTGGTCTGTTATAGAATTAATGGAGATTGTGAGCTACTTACGGCTTTGACGACGAACCCATTTCGGCGGGAGGTAGAAGGGCGGAGGGAGAGGGAGGAGCGGAGGGATTTAGATTGGAAACTGAAGGATGCAGAGCTGGAGAATGAGAGGGTTTGAGAGAGCTTAGATTTGGGGGAAATGGAAGAGGAGGGCCTAGGGTTTGGAGAAGAAAGGAGAGCTGCCGAAGCAGATGAGGAAGCCATTGATGGGTTTGGTGGTGTTGTGTGTTATCTGAGTGTGGATTGTTGGGGTTTGGTTTTAAGGTGGAGAGGTGATGAGCGATAAATGAAGATAGGGGTTTTGTGGGGGTTAGCTTGGTTGGTTAGTAGGGATAGGTAAGGGGACTAAAATGTTTCGTTCCCTTGATTCTAGTTATTTTTATGTAATTTTAAAGGGATATTGAGTAATGTAATTATAATGTAACATATATATATATATATATATATATATATATATATATATATATATATATATATATATATATATATATATATATATATAGAGAGAGAGAGAGGGTGTTTGGTTTAGCTTTTGAAAACCAAAAAGTCATTTTTGCAAAAGATGGAAGAGTTATGATTTCCTAACTTTTCAAAAAGATGCTATTTACTCTATTGAAAAAGTTAAAAAAATCAGAATTACCAAACATCTTTTTGACTTTTAGAAAAAGATAAAAGTTAAAAGTCACTTTAAAAGTTATCCCAAACACCCTCTTAATCTGGAATGGTATTTCAGACTAAGAAAAAATAAATTTTACAAAAAAGTGTATATTTTGGGTTGACATTTGAAATATCGGATCAATTTTTTGAATTTTAAGAATAGGTGAGAATTCCAATGCAATGTTTTAAAAATTGGTTTGAACCGGTAGAAAATTGAAACTATTCAATGATATATTTAATCTCATATTATACTGTTCTATTTGTGGTTAAGATATCGAAGATCACAAACAAGATGTGAATAACCATTAAAATATGTTTGGTAACCTCGTTGTTATTTATCATCTTGATTGATGTGCTGTTAAACCACACATGCTCCATCAACAATGATAATTTATGAGATAACCATTACCATGAAATATATAATGTGTATTTTAATCTTTTCAATATACTAGGTTTATTCCATTTAAATTTTCGAAATTAATAAACAATTAATTTAAATTCAAATATAAACCAATTGATTTAATATCTATTTATTAATTAACATTTAATTAAATGTATTAAATCAAATAATGATTGTTAATTAATCAAATAATTTAATCTTAATCTTTACCTTCTAAATTTTCGAAAATATAGGGTGTAAGATTTATTCCAATTTTAACTATCTATTTTTAGGCAATTAAAATGATAATTACCAAAATTTGAAAAACCCTAATAACCTATAAATTTTCGAAATTGATTTGGGAGGAGGGTTATGGTTTAAAAACCCTAACCCTAATTTCGAAACTTTGGGAGGAAGGTTATGGTTTAAACACTACGCCCAACGCAGATAACCGTACGCCCAGCGTACTAGGCAGGTGTCCGGACTTCCTAATCGCGATGGGATTCTTTGTACTCCCCGCATACAGAGACTTACGCCCAGCGTACCGTAAGTCGGTTCCAAAAGTTATAAATAGCGAATTTCGGCCAACCAGAACAGGATTCTAACTACCATCGATCCTTAGTCGACAAGTAACACATATTTGGCCGTTTTAAGGGTCTAGAAGGCAGTCGGAAGTCTGTTAAGCTTACAGGAGCGAAGATCTGAAGGATTAGAGAGCGGATTCGTGTCGGAAATCATGTGGTTTGTTATCATTACCATGTTTAGCATTCCACTGTGATACTACTATGTTTTTACTTTCTGATTTTGGTGTCAAAACCATTTGCTTTGAGTTTATGATTAGATAAAACCTTGATTTGTGGATTAATTGCTATATTTGATTGTTTTATTTGTGTTTAATTTATCTTGTTAAGCTTGTTAAAAGATCCTTATATGTTAATGACAATTGTTTACTGTTAATTATTAAGTATATTGAGTTGTATGAACATCTGTTTGGTTGCTTGCCTCTTATGATTTTGATGACCATCAAAATTATATGTTTAGGAATAGCGAACGTGAAACTAGGGTTAACTAGAAAATAAGTAAGTTAATGTGTGAGCATGTGTGATGATCAACCACATATGAGATAGTTGAATGACCAACTTGATTAACTATTATTACAAGTCTTGCTTGATATGAACTGAACACTTGGAAACCTGTTAGTTTAATCAACTGATCACTGCTTGAATTGATTGTTTGCTAAATGATTAGTAATAGTGAACATGAACCTAATCATTTTAGAAATCGGTGAACATGAATAAATAAATCTTTGTGTGCAATTGTCTATGATTTTAAGGTGTAATTTGTCTAAACCAAAGTACCTAAAGAGATTTGTCTTCCTGTCAGTCTATCGAGATTTGCTATTTAGTTATTCGTTTGAGATTTAATAATACATTTCTTTATTCTTTCGTGTGTTTTGTAACCTATAATCAAATATTTTAAATTAATCCATTATTGTTCCCCTTGTGTACAACACTCTTGTTTATCAAAGTTATACTATACTCGATCGGGTTCACTGTTTGTAAGGTGTGGTTTAGATGCGATAAATTACGAATTATAAATAAAAAAACTAGTTCATTAAACATTCACATCAAGTTTGATTTAGTTTATTTGATTATTCGTTATAATTTTTAGTTTTATTTTCGTTGATACCATTTCACTTATCGTGAAGGTTTTTGTTGTTATGTGCAGAAATTCATGATCATACACATTGCTTGGTTTTACTTTTTGCATAGGTTTTGAGATTGCAAGTGATTAGGGAATTCTTGACTTGCTTAGCCTACTACTTTGATAATTTGTCCAACTCAATCCATGAGGTGTAGCATAGCAAGGTGAATCATGGTGGTTAAATGGAAGATCAAACTCTTGCTATTTTTGACTAGTTGGGTCAACTTCTATTGTACTTTGAGTTAATGGTGCAAAGAAAACAAAAGGAAATAGACTAACGGGTCCCGAAAGTTTTTTTGTTTTCACAAACCACTTATTGCATGTAAGGGATTTAATCAACAATTGTTGTTTTATTTCGACAAAGACGAGTGATCATGATGTCCCATTTATTTTTGTTTTTTTTTACTATAATGTGTCACTTGTCGGGAAGTTGTGGCTGTTGTTTGCAGAAATTATATATTTTGAAGTCCATAATTGAATTTGTTGGAAAAAGAAAATTAAAAGGGGCAAAAGGAAATTAAATGCATTAAAATTACGCCCAACGTAATTGAAATTATGCCACGCGTAACGCAACAGATAATCGCGACCAAGGAAAACACGGTATAACGAGTGCGCCCGGCGTACATTGGGGTACGCCCAACGTAAGTCGGCGTCAAGTGATATCTTTAACCATCTGACTTTTTATTCCTCTTTCATATCTTATTTCACCCTACGATATGACGGCCGAATCCTCAAGAAAGCTTCGATTTTTCTTCTTTTCTTGTAGAAATTGACACAGAGGTATGTTATTTGGTTACCCTTTGGCTTAAATTTATGTTTAATTTATAGAAATTGGTAAGATTAAGCTATTTAGAAATCTAAGGTTTCTACGTTTCTTGAAATAGGGTCGGTTTCGCAAAAATTTATGATCGATTATGTCTTGATAAATCGATTCAGGCCAATAGACTAAACCCTTGGACTTAATGTGACCTCCAACTCGTGCATAAACCTTCGATTTGGTTTTCAGGCCGTACACTTAGCGTTCATTGGACTTACGCCATGTGTATAACCTTGTATTTTGACTGCCCCTGCGTATACTTGTTGAATGGCTTAAAACATTTGAACGAACAGAGACCCAATTCGAGCTTCTGGACGTACGCCCAACGTACCAAACATGCCTGGCACCTACTTTTTCATTTAAATTCTATCAATTATGTGATTTTGTTTTTGTGTTGGTTTTATTTTGGTGCTTATTTGTGCAGATTATGGCTAGAAGGAATCAATGAACAAATCCACCCGATGACGTAACTGATCACCGCTTCTTGCAATTCCCACAAACTTTGAATGATGAAATTCGTAGCAAGTATTTGAACAATTTGAGTTTGCTGCTCACTAAGGAGATTGACATTTCACATTCATTCGACTGGGGACTAGCATCCCAAATTGGACTTGATGAGCTAATCCGGTATTTTTTGACATACACTCACTTGGACACGAGTGGTGTGCCTTTGTTTGTATGCCGAAGTTGGGACAAATTGTTCAAGTTTCAGGAGCCTGCTTATCGGGAATTTTTGCTGGAGCTTTATTCTACTGTTTCCTATGATCCTAGGAAGACACCTGATGACAGGACAACTTTTTTCTTTCGACTTGCTGGTGTGAGTCGGGAGTGCAGCGCGATTGAGCTTGCTACCAAAGTTGGGATTTATACTGCAGACGAGACGAGGAGTGTCCACTTCCCAACATTCCTTGTTGATTGTGTTACAACACGACCGAATGACTACAATGAAAATACTTTTAGGGTTGAGATTACTAGGGGAGTTTACATACCATCTACTGGTTTAGGGAAGATGATTCGGTCTACCACTTACAGATTATTGCATCGTTTTGATTTCTATGTCTCCCACACATCATAAGAATAGTGAGAGAATGCCTTCTATAGATTTGTATTTCCTATGGACTCTTGTTACTCCATGAAAGCACCTGAACCTCCTGGTTGCTTTAGCTACTTACATGGGGAGGAGGGCTAGGGGGCTTCGTGAGGATAGCTTAATTTGTGGTGGCAACTTCATCACACGTTTAGATCGATCATATCAGTTATTGACGAGGGAGATCACTAGATCTATGGTGTTTTATGAAACTAGGTCGATGAGTTTACAGATGATGGAGTCGATGAATGTACTTCAGCGATGTGAGGATGGTATTATCCGGATACGACCAGATGACGTGGCTTCTGAGGAGGGTGCAGATGAGCCAGCACCTAAGAGACCATGGAGGCGTAGACCAGCTCCTTGAGGAGCACAACAGGGACCAGAGCCATAGATCGCTATATGTTACCTGGCCCAACGCATGGACGAGAGATTTCAACACATGGAAAGTAAACAACAGTGGTATGGGGATGTGTTGACCACATTCTTTGCCCATCATGTTTTTCATTACCCGATTCCTTTTCCTCCACCATACCAGCCGAGACATGATGGAGCTGGCACGTCAGGGACACAACAACATGATGACGAGGATGATGAGTGATATACTTATCCTTTTTATGTTATTTTTGGTGTTTGTTAGGCTTATTAGTTTTTATTTTGGTGTATTTTAATTAGGATGTTTTATTTATTTATGGTTTATGTAATTTTGTTTTCCATGTTGATGCTCTTTAATTGTTTTAGATATTTGCAGATTTTTCGCCCTTAGAAAGCTGACAGTAAGTTCAACAACTAGGTCCGACTGTTGCTTTATCATGAGAGAGAGAGAGAGAGATCCATGTGGGGTTTGAAGTTTATAGTCAAGACCCATGATTTCTCATAAGTTTGGGGGTGCGTGTCGATATTGTGAGAGTATATTATTTAGAAGAGTGTCGTTACCACCATATATTGATTTCTATGGTATGGATGAATTGTTCCCACACCATAGAGTTTTATTTCGATGCGAGGTAGAAGTATCATCTCAGCTACCACGACATGGTTGACACTTTCCAAATGTCGTGGGGGAGTTTTTCATCGCGAGAGGAGGCTGCCATTCTTGATATCACAACGTAACCACCAGTTACCACGTCACCTCACTCGACGACACGACGTGGTCGACACTTTCCCACGTCATGGTTACTACACATTGCATTTATTTGCAATATTTTGCACCACATTTTAGGAGTCGGCATTCTTGATTTTATTTTTCCGACACATTCAGAAGCAACAATTCCACTTTTCCAGCATATTTATGGAGCAACTTTTAGCAGCCCCATTCGATCTCGCCACAACTACCCCAGGGGAGTCTGTTCATTTTTCTCCCTTTTTACTATTTTTATGTGCTTAATTAGTTTTATGCATACAATGAGGGCATTGTATGAAATAAATGTGAGGTAGGGACTTGACAAAGGATATTAAAAATTGCTAGATTAGGAAAATTTAAAATTTAAAAATTTACAAACTTGAAAAAAATAGTTTAATTTAGGAAAATATAGTGATAATTTAAACAAATTTGCTAATATTGTATGAGATGATCCGATGAGAACCCAAATGTTTACCAAAGCCAACACATGTTATAATGTATTTGTGGCTTCCCATTTTCCTAGTGAAAAATCATGACATGTGAAAAGTAATTTGGTAGTTTATATGATATAATATGTTTTGCAGCCTAAACCTGAAATCCATCAAGGAGAGCTTATGTAATCATTGACTAATACCTTAATCAGTAAGGGTTGAAGTTAAGCACCCCTGCTTAAGCATGTAGGTTTTGAGTGAAAAGAAAAAAAAAAGTGAGATACATGTTAAAAAAAAAAAGAGAGAGAAATTACCAAAAAGTTGTAAGAATTTTGGAGCAGTCAAATTATGAAGATCAAAAAATCAAAATTCTGAAGAAATCTAAAAAGTTGAAGATACCAAAAATCAACTAAAAATGTGGTGAATTCAAAGAAATCAAATATAAAATATTCAAAGAAGTAAAGATTTCCAAAAGCTCCATTGTGGTATCAAAAGTTGTAATTCCTATATTATGTATGTTTGGGTAGCTTTACAAAAACACATTGAGGTTAAGAAAGGTTTCTAATGATTGATTCAGAGGGTTGCATAAATGAATGTCATATAAGCTAAGGAGTGAAGGTTCATAATGATTGTGTGTAACGCCTGTGTTTCCGGGCTTGCCATTTTTAGCAATGTAATGGTCTAAATTAACCTTTGTAACCCGTTTTGAAATAATAATATTGTATTATTTGAGTATTATGTGTTTTGTGCTTAATTGCTTAATTATGTGGTTTGATTAATTAAGAATAAAAATAAGCGTCAAAATTTAAGTGTAAAATAAACTTGATATCTTTAGATAATGTTGTAGTAGTTGAAACAAGGTTTCCGAAGATATAAAGAATGCCGAAATCCGAGTTATAACGAGGAAGTTATGACCTGTCGAAGTTTCGCGACAGAACCGGCAACGCTGAATGACGTAAAAAGTGAAATTTACGTTAGAGCGATATTTAGCCTTAGTGATCTAAACGAGAATCGAAGATCTCGTTGTTAGTGTCAAAGCGATAAAAAGTTAGGCGAGAACGGACGTCAAACGAAGAAGTTATGAATTTATAACGAAATTTTCTGTCCCGGCCTATTAAAAATAAATAATAAAAAATAAAGTCAAAATTAGCCGACGGAGTCTAAACGAAAGTTGTAGAGCGTAGTCTCACCTTTCCGTGGATATAAAGAACATCGAAAACGGAGTTCGTATGAAGAAGATATGAATTTCCGAAGTTTATTAATTAATTTGTATTTATTTTTAAATCAAAATTCGGAAGCCTTATCCGAAGGCGAGTCACAGATCTGATCCGACTTACGCGCCGCGTAAGTGAGTACGCCCCGCATACTCCGAAGAGTGTCGACACTTTGGATGACGCATGCAGTGACGCAATTCGGAGCCTGTACGCCCCACGTAATTCGGGCTTCCAGCCTCCTATAAATAGGATGCGAGGGGTCCGGGGTAATTTGCTAATTTCCTCTCGTTTTTGTGCCGAAGCTCTGCGTTTTTACCCCCGAAGCCCCGGTAATATTCCCGAGTCCTGAAGCGAGTCCCGAGATCCCGAAGATCCTGAGAAGTGCGGTTTCCGAGCCGAAGCTCTGCCCGCGAGAAGTTCGATTTTCGTAGAGATCTTCCAGATCTGCTGAGGATTACGACTTCTGCAAGCCGTAGTGCTGTCCGATCATCTTTTGATCAAGTGAGTGTATACTACCTTTCATAAACGCAATAATAATACAAGTATGGTTTGAGTGTATTAAGTTTATTGTCGTTTATACGTGTGAATGCGTTGTTACTTTCTCCTAACGTATAACTATGAAGTATTTTATACGAGATACGTGTTATGTGTATATTTTGTTGTTATGTGTGTGAATGTATATTCACTTTCTTCTATCTTACAGATATGATTATTTCTATATGAAATACGTGTTATGTGTGCGTGCCTCATCTGTTATATGGAAAATGTATTGATCAAGCATGCTATACAGGTTTTGAAAATATGTATAAAAATGTATGTTTTTATCTACTAATATGTTGGGTAGAACATGGGTAGATAGTTGGTGTGTAATAAACAGATGAGAGACCTCGTTGTTGTTTTGATCCAGTCATCTAGCGGAATTTAGATGACGACCACAGACTTTTCTAGATAGTCCAGTGGAACGCTAGCAGGCTCATAACCTGTAGGTGTTAATGAACTTGGGTGTTCATTCGCTGTATTCCATCCCCTCATGGTTTCCTTATTTGACTTATATTGTTGAGGAACCCCCGCAGCATGTGTTGTCACCCCGATGAGAATATTCTTAGATTAGGTCCCTTGTGTTAGTTATTTTAGGGACGTAAAGTGAGAATAACGGGAATGGGTAACTGGGTTATTGTTGGTTGATAATAATTAATTTAATTATTTATTGTGGGTTGAAAACCCTATATGCTCACCAGGCTCCCAAGCCTGACCCACTCAATTTTATTTGTATTACAGGAAGTGGCGCAAGGACGTAAGATGGATGAACCATCAAGTTGTTTTGTTTACAAGTCTGTATATGTAAATATTTGTTGAATGACTTGTAATGTTATCGTTTATACTTGTTCGTCTATATCGGAACATGACACCCCGAGTTTTGATTATATAATGAAAAAAAATACATTTCTTTTATGAAATGCTTTGGTAAACATTGTTTTATCATGTTTTGTTTTTTGGGAACAAATTCCGCAATTCTTTCAAATCAAATGGATTTACTCTGAAATTATTTTAAAAGCATAAATGAAAATCGGTCTTTTCTGGCCGAGATTTTGGGGATGTCACATTGTGAGTATTTAGGAATGGGAAGTTCTTAGGATTTATATACACAAATACATGCATTGCGGTCTTGGGATAATGGTTGGGTTTAAAATGGATTGTTTTATGCGATATTGGTAAATTAAAAGTAAGTTTGCTTGGGGGCAAGTAAACGCTAAGTGTGGGGTATTTTGATGTGTATAATTTTATACATATTTTATATGTCATATCTTAATATTTTAGCCCTTGTTATTCTTATTTAGAACAAAAAGGTATTTATAATGCTTTGAATTACAATTTACATCTATTAGTTGTCAATAGAGTGTAAAAGAAAAGATTGGAGTGGAATTTGAGCTTATAATCAAAAAGAAAGAAAGATTGTTAAAGGCTGCCATTACGTCCAACGTAATATCATCTACGCTAAGCGTAATGCTGAGATGACCACTACGCCCAACGTAGATAACCGTACGCCCAACGTACTGGGTAGGTGTCCAGACTTCCTAATCGCGATGTGATTCTTTGTATGCCCTGCGTACAAAGACTTACACCCAACATACATAAGTCGGTTCCAAAAGTTATAAATAGCAAATTTCGGTCAACTAGAAGAGGATTTCATCTACCATCGATCCTTAGTCAACAAGTAACACA